TCTTTGAGTGAAATCAAAAGCACCAACAGTGTTTGTTATTAACCTCAGAAGCTTTCAAACATGAAAGTAGAAAAATTAAATATTACAAAAACAAATAATCTAATTTGATATGTTCAGTCCATTATATTTTACTACGTTTGAATTTGAAACTTATTGTCCGTTACTACAAAGTTTATTTTACCTTACGTAATCAGAAACGGCTTTAAGTAATCAGATATTTTACTATTCGTATTTTGTTTCAGCATTTCAACTTTCCTTTTCTTATGTATGTTGTTAATATAGTTTTATACTATGACCTTCACTAGCATAAAAGTATATTTGAAAGTATATGTAAGTAGGAATGTAATAAAGCCGTCAAATTCTCATAGTATTCTCATAGTATTAAAACAAAAGCGAAGAATGAAAACAGAATCTGTTAGTCTAATTTGTTATAATATTTAATTATGTACTTTTTAAATTTCAGAGTAGTAATTCCTATTTAAAGGGAGAAAGTGAAGGTTATAGTTTCAAGACTGATAAATTAATCTTTCGTTTCGATATATCTGATAATTTATGATTTTGACTTTAATTAAATTTGCATTACCCCTTTCCTAGTACTTTTGTTTTCTAGTACCAATAAGCATACGTGAATATATTTGTTTGCACTGAAAATGTCGTCTGAAGAGGTATAGGTGCTTCACTATTTCTAAGAAAAATAACGCTTAATCAGATTAAGTAAGATGCGTTTCTTTATAGCAAATGAAAACGTCTACACTAGCTTATGTTTATTGAAAAGGATCTTAAAAGTAATGTTTAAAGCTGAGCTAGCTTTCAGAGAGGAACAACCTCAAATTATTTCTAGCATTTTGCCAATAGGTATTAAGACAGGAAAAATGAAATAATAACTTTGCAACAGGAATGACAGTGATTATTGAAGACATGCTAACAGATTCTGTTTTCATTCTTCGCTTTTGTTTTAATACTATGAGAAAGACTCTCAGTTATTCGTGGAAAATCATTTTGTTTTCTCTTTTAATTTAAAAAACGCATAAAATTTTTATACGAAACTTTGTATATTTTTGTACACTTTTCATAGCAAATGATAAAAATCTTGTTTGTTTCAGAAGTTTAGACAACTTTCAATCCAGTATATCACCGGTAATTATTTTTGAAAAAATTTTGGTGTTAATATTAACTGCATATGCAGCACAATTATCATGACACTCGCTAATAAAGGAAAGTGAAATATAAATGCCAATAAGGAGCAGAGATCGCCATATTTGTGAAGTACAATCTATGTATAAAAATAATTCATAATGATTTTATCATCTTGTATTGTAGCGTGACCCATTAATTAAAGCATCATGGGAATTAATGCACATGATACACATGTACATAAATGCACAATTAAACCAGGTATGTCTCCAAACGAATTTTGCTTTGCTTCTGTGTGTTGTCCAGATTTGATACCTTGTAATCTTGATACCTTGTCCAGATTTGATAAGTTTTATTTGTGAGGTTATTTAAATCACTTGATTTACTCGGAAGAGTTTACTTGTCTTCAGTACAGAGTAGATCAAGACCCTTCGCGCTTGTCATCAGCGTTTATTCTACTTCGTTGGTTGCAGTAGCAGCATTGAGTGGATCTGCGAACTGAAATCGAGATGGATCAATTTACACTGATTGGATCAAATTCCAAATGATGCTGGATTTATGGGGCCCCTGTAGGCATACTTTGAAATTTAGCATACTTTGGTAATGAACACATTTTTCTCATCCGATATCATTTGATCACCCAAAACGTAACAGATTAAAGTATAGATTGAATTTTTCATAAATATAAAATTTTGCGTTCGAAATTTCTTTAAAAAATAATCACTTGAAACATACGTATTTGATGCAGTTTATAGTTAATGAACTCATGGAACGGTTTCCGTATCGTCTTGAAAGCATTTAAATCAAAAAGCAGAATATGTGACATATAAAGTGAAAATTTGGTTTTGCCATTCTGTTTTCAGTCTTAACTTACCCATAATCAGATGTAAAAGTAATAGGTGCATGTGTACATGAAATAATTTGTGAAATATTTTGTTAAATTTCTAGATAATATTTTAAGAACTCTAATAAATATGAAGAATCTTTCTTTAATTTACATCATAAAAGATTATTTCATGCAAAATTAGAAAGTGAAAACAAATATCATTAATATATACCAGTTTCCTTGCGTAATATTTATCAATATTATTTCTAAACATTAAAAAAAACTAAATTACAATTAAAGTAGTTTAGATAGACTATATTCAGACACGTACATTATAGCTCATAAAATATTTCAGGGAAAATAAATAAATATATTAGGAAAGGTCTCCATGACTGATCTTATTGAGATCCACATTAAATATTCAAGAATATACTGAAGCCGGATGAAGTAGTTAAATCTTCAGTTAGAGAAAATCAATATCATACGTAATCTCTTAAACCATTTATTGAACCGAAAGCAAGAAATAACTTATACTAAATCTGAAGGGAAGATATTTGAGCCTTTTTCTTTGCTTTTCAAGATCAAGCAAAGAAGAGTTATTTTTAAGCAATAAAGTTACTAATTACAGAGGTAACACTGTTTGCTCTTATATTCTTATAGATTTCATTAAAAGTGACATATTACATCGATCTTGGCAACCACCGCAGAAATAACAGAAGCGAGATAGCGTTGATGTAGCGTTGAACGCCTGGTTGTTAATATACAAGTATTTTATAGCAACACTTTTTCACGGGATTACATAGTTACATAAGCAACAAGTATTTTAGAGCGACACTTTTTAACAGGGTCACATAGTGCAAGATATCACTGGCAAACATATTATAATCGACTAGGAAAGTTTCTTTCCAAGATGTCCCTCTTTCAAAAAAGAAATAAATTTCTAGAAAATTGCTCCGTAATAAAGACAAGCATCTATACTTATTTACTATTCAGCCATAATTTGAAACTACAGAAGAAATGCTATCTAGACATTCAGTTCATGGTATGATGCTATGAAGAAATAACAGTACAAAATGTCAGATATCCGTTATATTTCTAAAGGAAATATTAATAAGATGTTTTGATTAACAATAAATATTAATTTTCACCTTTGAATTTCCATAAACCAACAATCCTACATATAACGATGGTCATTCAGATAAATTTTAACCATTACCCCGTTTCACTTATGTAAGGTTTCCTTTCAAAAACATCCGTTTAGTGACTGAATAGTTAAAAATACAGATCATTGGTAATGTTCTGAAAATTCGACTCTCAGCGACTATTGGTTGCAGGGAATCTTCGAGTTTATCCTTATGTATAAACAATATGACCCATTTTTTTTTCGAAATTACACCATGAAGGCATCATTTGACTAAAGTGGACAACCCTATCTTTTCTTATTCTTAATTAATGTAATATATTTTCAAATCTGTTTAAGAAAGTTGTATAATTAATTGTGTAAATGACAGCAATTATCTCATGCTCTCTGAAAATTAAATAACAAATACAATCCTCAACACTTTTTTAACTGCATTTATGTACAATAAAAATTTCTATATAAATAAAACGTAAAGAGAAACTCGATCTCACATTCTCTAAAAAATATTAGGTGTTCTTGAATTTGTTAAATTTAAACTTGTTAGTAATATAAAATATGGTCATCATATTGTAATGCGAGCTCCCACTGAATCCTAAAGCATACTGATTTGATGAGTTTCTAGCAAGTATTTATTTATTACATGGCAAAAGCATGTGTGTTATCTGTCTTAAAAGAGGTGCCTTGAGAAAGATATTCTTCGGCAAATTAATTCATACTTGGTTTACATATGGCGAAACCTTGCAAACGTCTACAGACAAAACAGTTAATTATTAGTCAATTACGCAATATGTATTTGATGTACACGTTCTTGTTCTGTTACTCCGGTACACATTCTACATGTCATACTGACTTATTCGAAATATTTTTTCATTTGAAATTCTTTGATTTAAAAACATTGTTGAGAATATGATATATGTCAGAGGAAGTAATACATGAAAGTATCAAATAATATATTATTTTAATGTTAAAAATATGCGTTTTTGTATATTTGATCAAAAACTTCTATTCTAATGAATATCGTCTGTCTTTATCTGTATTTTACCTCTCCCTTGTAAAGGATAAAGTTTCCTTTAAATTGTTGATTTATTAGTTTTCTTCTAATTAAGCAGTTTATATACATCTAAACATTTCCCATTAGGAATTAAAGAGTAAAAGGTAGTGTATTAAAGTACATTTAAAAATAGATATTTCTTTTTCTGAATTCTATAAAAATAGTCCATCAAATATTTTCATTCATTATTTCTGAGTAGAATGTCTTAAGAAACTGAGAAAGTTTATGATTGCTTAATTCTACTGCATCTACGAAATTTATTACTTATAAATATCTTTGAAATATGATATTTATTTTCCTGCTGCTGAAGAAAATTATTTTTAAATTCAACCAATAAACATTGGGTTAAGAAAATATCAAAGTCCTTTGTGTGTGTGTGTGCGAAACATCGAAACTCTGAAATTATTATGATTTTATCAGCAATCATTCAATTTATACATACTTGGATGTTATATTTCCGGATAAAACAAAAATACACTACCATTCAGTAGGAAATATAAACGAACATTTTCTTACTTTTCCTTCCTTCGATCAGCATTGAATATGTATATCTGTAGAGACATTAGGTATTTTTGGAAGCATGCAAGATAAAAAATAAGCAACACCTTCGCCGGGAATCGAACCACGGACCTCTGGAATACGCGCCCAGCGTGCAGACTACCTACCACATCACGAAGGCATGCCAAGAAGGCGGGAAAAATACCCTATATACTTTCCCTTTTAAAAGGCGACTGGCTTTCTAGGGGACCCAGTCGCCAAATACTGAGTGGGGAGAATCATCATCCATCACCCTTTTAGTTCGGTCGCCACTTTAGAGACATTAGGTATTTTTTGGAAGCAGGCAAAATTAAAAATAAGCAACGCCTTCGCCGATAATCGAACCTCGGTCCTCTGGAATACGCTCCCAGTGTGCAGACCACCACACCACGAAGGCATGGCAAGAAGGTGAGATAAATACCTTATATACCACTGAAAGAGAAATTCACTTTCCACAGAAAAAACACAGTGCTGCAACTTAAAAATTGATATGAGACCAACCGTGATTTAAAATTGCATTGGGAATTTAGATTAGTTTTTATTTACCTCGGAGCTCAAAACGATGTCGCGAAGATTTTATAAGCAGGAGCAGCAAAGAATGACAACTTATCAAGGTGACGATGTATGCTCTTTCGTGTAAGCGTTTTGTGATTTTGTTTTCTTGTCGTCGACGCTGAGAAATGTGGTTTCCGGGAAAGTGAAGGCGTTTCATATGCCAAATTGGCCAAGACTAGTGGAAGGTGCCAGTTTCGTCCCGATCCCAAGTTCCTGTATGAAAGGTTGAAGTCATGGACAAAGTTCCGGTATAGATGACTAACCGAATGCTCACCCCAAGGGCTAAGTTTTGCAATGCAGAGACTGTGGCTCTCTAATTATCCAAAAAATCTGAAGTTATAGTCATTCTCGTCTTTTTATTATTACTTATTTTTTCATGTCGCAAAATAAAAGAATTTCTTCATTGCTGTAAAGTCCATATCTCTGGGTAGCTATTTTAGAATGTGAAATGAGGACATGTAAGCAACTTTGATTTCCATCGAAAGAAACTTGTTTTCCTGAAGACCCCAGTTCCAAATAACAACACATGGGTATTTCAATGTAAACCTGACATAGAATAGCAAAATGACGATCGTAAATAAAAAAATTCCTCTATACGAATCCCGTCTTTCGAAAATCAAGAATCAGATCACCGCTGGTTGTGCTCGATGTGCGGAAAAAAAAGTCACCCAGGAAAAGGGGAAGCGGAAAGGAGGGCACCGGAAAATAAGAAACGGAAAAAAGGTAACCTTAAAAATCTATCCAAATAATATCGCCAATTGAAGCTCGAGAAACCAGCAAAATTCTAATTTACCCAGCAGGGTTATAGCAGGCTCTCTTGAGAGCGGTGTTAAGGGTAAGATGCTGAGCTAGCTGCAGCCTAACAAGGTCATTTCGAAAGCAGGTTTCTCCAATTTGCCCCTGGGAAAATCGTATATTCTCCCCCGTGTTTGTTTCACCCGTTTCGGAAACCGACCCACGTTGAAGGCCGGTCGCCCGGAAGGAAAGAATTCATAGGGAGCAAATTTTTCTCCTCTGTTGTATTAATGATTGCCGCCGTGGAACTAAATAATTGTCTATATAAACAATTCCTGCCGTATAAACTTAATGTTTTCTGCTGTTACTTTATTTTATCAGAATAGTTGACAAGTGAATCTAAACAACCAATAGTATTTTTTGTTACAAATTTTAGCACACGTAATTTAAATTGCGTTAATTAATTTTTGCATGACAGAAAAATAATTTTATATAGGATGTTATTAAATTAGAATCTCAATATGCCAGAAATTAAACGATACATCCATTTAAAGGTGAAATTAGTTTGCTTTGATTTATTACCAGCTCGAATATTCCTAAGCAAGCAAAATGACTTTGTTCGAAGAAAGGAATTGTTTAAAAACACGAATTCAGTAATTGTATTGTCCACAAGTAACTCTGTTCTATAAAAAAAGGTAGTAATAATTTTGACTGGCTGGTAATTTCAGAACTTTACTTCATTAAATTTATTTTTGTGTCCCGGCTTCAAATTTTTCTTTCTAACATCCTTTTCCTAAACTCCGAAAATTTACACTAGTTTCAGTACTAGAGATTGTGATTTAAATACTATGCTTTTTTTTTTTTTTTTTTTTCGGGAGCACTGTTTCAAGAACTGCTTGTTTTATGGTACAGCACACATTTAGATTGAAGCCTTCATATTGCATTCATTAGAATGCCTTCTTTCTGTATTATCACCTTTATTGCCATTATTTAACTAAGATATTGTTAAATTGAACTAATGAAATAGCTCGATGTTTCCAACATTGATGCGTTGAAAAATCTATCTGCTTCTATTATGCAATTTATAAAGCTTTTCTTAAGCAACTTCATGACACTTAAGTTATTTTCTTTTTCACCTGAAATAGTCTAGTTACAGAAAAAGAAATGCATTAAAACCAAATTTTCACTTCTTCAGAGCACTTTTAGTAATATATTTGGATTTCAGAATAAATAAAAGCACCAATAGATGGCGTTGAAGATCAAATAAGAAACTGGAAATATAACCCGAGAGTACTTGTCAATTATATTGACATCTTTGATTCGAGGAACGGAAGCTTTGAGGGCATTTGCTTTCTTCTTGAGAGCCTGAATGACCTTCGGCTTTCTCCCGTACTCTAGACGGCTCCTTCGGCCTACCGCTCCCGAAACTCGAGGGCTATAAGGAACACGCAAAGATAAGTTACTCATGCGCAGTGAAGGCGGAAACATGGCTTCCGTTTCACTTGTGGCGTTACTCAACGACCTTCTTTTCCGCAAACAGGGAATTGGAGACATCCTGACATCCTGCAGTTCGATGATCTCCTCATTCTGAAAAGAAAATTTTTTTTAGAAAGAGACTTTCTATGTGAAGAATACATTTAATTGTAGAATGTCCTCTTGTTTCTCGAATAAAAAATTGTCAGACTATATTTCTCTGAAATAAAGCTATAGTTTTCGTTTGTTTGAACAACAACATGCACCGTTAATTCGAAGAACAATAAAACTGGGTAAATTCTATTTAAATGGGAATATATATCAATGCCACGAAGAACAATAAAACTGGGTAAATTCTGTTTAAACGGAAATATTCATCAATGCTAGTGTTTCAGTACTGCCCTTATTTTCACATTTTAATTTGGACGCTACTCTTCTCTTATTCTAAAAATAGTAATGGCTTTTCTGAACTGCGTCATTACTGGATTAATCTACCATATGATGATGACGCACCTAGTTTGGAACTTTTCTCTTAATAAGCTAATGTACTGCACAATTACTGACTTTGCTATTGCTCCCCATCGAAGGTAGACTGCTTGCTGCTTCTCTTTTTACCCTAAAGCTATCAAAATTCTAAATGTTTTGAGAAAAGAACGATTGAAGTGCCAACTGAATAGTGGCCAAAAGTGTCAATTGAAATAAAAATGAATATTTTATCTAACTCAGCTGCACAGTTTGCTCTTCATTCTCGATCAACATCCGCGCAATCAACTTTTCTACATTAGGGCTTTATTAATTGTGATATTTAGGTGTAGATGATTTGAAAATTCTTAAACAGCGTTATAGAATATAGCGTTATAGAATTTTTTTTTGGCGCAGATAACAAGACAGAATTTTATTTCTTAATAAATAATTTTGAGAACGCACATTCACTGTGGGGACGTGAAGCGCGCCACAGTTTTCATAGCATATTACGTTTTTTCGGACAAAGGAAGAAGCCTAGTAATAAAGCGAAGTGGAAAAAAGGCTGCGCGATAGTAACAATGGTATTTATAAACTTGATTTCTTTGTTTTAATTCTGCATCTGCGATTGGAAACGAGCTGTCGCGATGCAGGACGATTACGTAAACAAGAATGAAATGGAAAGTTAGCAGTCCAGAAATATTACTATACACAATTTAGAACAGAAAGGTGAGATAATCAAATTAAAATGGGGAATGAAAAGGACTATTGCCAAATTAAAGTTAATAATATTGAGTTACATATTTTATATTCTACGTATTCTTCAAAGAGAGAAAAACGCTTAGCGATAAAAATGTGTTAGACAGTTCGCTAAACAAAGGAAATATAATTTTGTGAAAAACCCTAACACACTTGTCCAATTAATACAAATTTTAAAGTTCTACTGAAATTTTCAGTCCAGCTTTAAAAGTTTGCAAAAAAATAATTAGAAATGTTCACAGTTCTTGGAAATCTTAAAGATGTCATCTGTCTGGGAAATCACTGCCTGAAAGTTAAGTTCATCTCTGCAGAATCAGCCCAGTCTTAAAGTGCAGTTTATCTACAAAATGCAAATAAGTGTTTGAATAATGAGGACTGAAGCTTTATTGTGGCTTAATTTTACTTTATTCTGCATCCGTAAGAAACATTATACTCTTGAACTATTCAATACCTAGACGTGAAAAAAAAATTGCTAACATCGTTCTCCTAAAGTGCTTCGCAAATTAAAACACAGCACAGTGTTTATATTAAAAGTGATGAGTATTTTGAAGGACTGGGGTCACCAACGCTTCAAATCATTTCAACTACGCATTCCCAGTGCTTTGAATGTTGTTAATCTCTGTTTAAAGAATATGCTTCAAGTTTATACGCTAATAAGTTAATTTTTACTTCCTATCTTCCTCATTATCATAATATTCGTCAAATGAAAAACTCAAAATTACCGTCTCTAACAAATAAATCCGTTTAATAAAACTATACCTCCTTTCAAGCATATTGAGTTAAATTACGGTCACTTCAATTAAACAAAATTCAAATAGTGCTACGGAATTTTAAATTTTTCACCAAGCATTCTGTGAATAAAGTAAGATTCTTAATGCAACTAGAATTGCCTTCATATCGAAAAATGCTAGTAAATAATAGTATTCGAAAATTTAAATACGTAATGTTTTTTTTCTGATTATGCCGGATTCTAAAAATTTCGCTTTATTTTATGAAAATGATTAAAATTTTATGATATCTAAAGATTTAATTTTTCATAATTATGCTTGATAAAATTAAGTAACAAATTTAAAGTTTTATAATTATTTTAGTCATAGAAGTTTATTAAACTCACTGTAGTAATAATTAGAAATTTTGAAAATTGTTTACAAATTTTGAATAATTTCTAAGAGTTTTGAAATTATTTTGAAAAATGATGTGAATATGAAAAGCGAATGCAATAAATTTGAAATATTATTAGAAAAAGTGGATTTAAGAAATGTTCTTTTAGTATAATAGAGAAAGTAATTAGTATTTTCATAGCTAATATTGTTATAATGAATATAGAACTACGAGAATGCGTGACTTGTATGAATAATGTAATTGAAAAAGTAAAATTTCTAGGAAAAAAATACTACAGGATTAGGATAAATGAACGTTACAATTAATTAATAATTATGCAATGTATAATTGATAAATAATTTAATGTGAAAGTATAGTATGTTGAGGGAGTACTTGTTCAAAAACAGAGGTCTGCTTTTATCTCTGGATAACTGTTCCTTTTATTCTCCTCATACATATAAACTTTGAATGCTTCTACCTTATGAAAAAAAAAATTGAATTTTTTATATAAAGTTCTTTTCTATTTGTTCATATAATGGAATATGGCTGTATATATGTATATGTGTGTGTAATATATATATATATAATATCTATATATATATTTGTGTGTATGAGATATAACAAAATACGATGGCTGCTTTAAAAATAATTGATTGGCGACTTCAAAATTAACTATTCTACATTTTATGCTCTTGCCCTAAATCCATCTGTTATCCAAATTCGACATCTTTTTATGTTACATAACAACCTTGAAATTATCAATCGTAGCTTAGTGTACTTTCTGCATCATACTTAGTATAAATGCTCTTGACACAACAACTACGTCAGTCTTTTCCTAGCTACCGCCAGTGCTAACATATCCCCGCTGCTAAGTCCACTTGCCTAAAATGACGTCGTATTCTTCGATCTGTGTATGTAAAGAATTATTGTAATTCATTATGATTGGATAAATGGCTACTAAGATGTTTTCATATGCATGAAAATAAAGATTGTGACTTCTTCAAATTTCAATTGTGTCGACGTCATCTTTTTGCCTTTCTACTCAGAAATCTAGGACTGCAGCTGTTAAAAGTACCCGTTTCCTCCTACGACTTAAATTATAACTTACAAGCATTTTATAACATTAAACATTAATAACATTTACAAACATCTATGCCTTCTCAGGGATTCGAACCCTGGTCCTCCGATACGGCAGTCAGAATCACTAAACACTATCCCGGTTGGGCGGTCCGTGTAATTTAATATAATATATATATCTATATAACGGGATGTTTTAGTGAAGTTCATAAAAATCCAACTACATTATTCAAGGAACGGAGGTCTTTGTGAGTAACTGCGAGCACTCCGTAACAGCTGATGAACGTTAATACCTCATTTAGGTTCAGTGGATATGCCTCATAGATGGAAATGTTTGTACTTGGAAAAAGTTGTGGGTTCTTCAGATTTTCTCTAAAACAAAAAAATTAGAAACGTCTTATCAGAAACCATAATTTCAGCAATATTACTACTATATTTATGATATTAAAAAGTTTCTTTTAACTAAGGAAATTTGTGTAATTTTTTAAAATTTGTTCTGATGATTCAATATATTTAATGGGCGTATTACATTTGTGATTTTGCTTATAAAGCTTTATAAAGGCTTCCGTAAATTAATATCATTATGTAGACTCTAAAACACAAAACTTTGGGCTGAAAATTTAATAGTACTCTAAAATGTTATCAAAGTTTACATTTTGCAATTCTTTAAATAATTACTTTGGTCAAAATGTTATGATTTGTATTTTTCAAATTATGTTTATGTGCATTTGGTAATGCATTTGATAATGAAAAGCCTTTTAAAGGATAAAGTGCACTTATCCTTTAAAAGAACTATATCCTTTAAAAGGCTGCTAGCACTTTATCCTTTAAAATGATACTAGCACTTTATCGTTTGAAAAGGCTTTTTTGTTGCTAACTCTTTCTTTCTTTGAAGAAGGAGGGGGATATGTAAGACAAAAAATTATATTATGATGTTGGGAGGCCCCCAACTTGTCAGCAACAGTAGTAGACTGCTATGAACTGGAAATTACACAGACTCTTAAGTAGTGTTTAACTCCCTTTTTATTTCACTTTAGAACTCACAGTTGCGTTCACTTGACGCTCACAAACTACGCCGACCCGGCGGTTAAACAAAAATAGAAGAGTACAACTAAAAATAAATGACAGGATGCATAAATAACGAAGTCACTATCTACGAGGCTCTATAATCGTAACTATCTTAACCGCGTTCTAAGATACAGCTGAGATTCAGCAAACTTTATTAAGAAGTTGAAAGATTCAACTAACTGCCGAAGTAGGCACACAGGCCGAAACGCGCGGTTCTTAAATTTCTACCTAGCAACCTTCACGCTCGTGATTCAAGAAGCACACTTACAAACTCGTTTCCCTTCTATTTAAACTCAAATTACTTCTGCTAAAATTTGAATACTCTGCGCGTTCTACTAAGATTTACATACTCTGGCATTGGCAATTCTAGGGGAAAGTAAAGGCTTGACAGGAAAGATAGCTTAAACTTAAAATAAATGTTAGTTAAAATAAATATAAACCCTACAATATGAATCAAAATTATAACTTTAATTAACAATAACCCCCTTATTTACTTATTTTGAGTACTTCCCCTCTCTATTCTGAAAATAACAGCAACTTTTCTGGGCTGCGTCATTTCTAGATTAACTTTCCATATGACTTTTACATGACGATGATGACGCACCTAATTCAGTACTTGAACCGAAAACTTTTCTGTTAATAAACTG